GAATGGTTTTGTTGTCACTGTGTGTAGAAGGAAGGGTTCTGCAACTAAACTAATAGACCATATAAATATGCTCAAAGTTAAGACTTAAGATAGATTAATAAATACATTGTGTAAAATTTAAATCAAGTGTATAGTTTAATCTGAAGATGAAGAAGCGGTCCAACTCTGCGAGTCGTCGACTCACTCTCCAATACAAGAAGTCTCGGGTTCAAAACTGCATGGAGTGAGTTCTTGCGTTGTTTCCCCAGACTCCCCCAACCCAGCCCCTTCCCCTGATCCCACTGGGGTAAAAAAACTGAAGATACATTAGATTTAGGATCAAATAAGAATAATGCTCAACATAGAACAGTGTGAACAACATTTTTAATCAGCTGTGATACACTATCAAGTTTTTCGTTGCACCTTTTTCTCGTTGGTGGTACATTTATGAAACGGCCACCACATTTGTATCATACTTACACGTTTTGACCAAAGTTTAAAAAGTGCAATAGATGATTCTCATAGTGTGTCAAATTGACTTAAATGCCATATTCGGCTATTCGCACGTTCACACGTATGCACCGCTCTCATTGGAACCTCTCCCATATTATATAATTTGCATGTATCAATGTATACGTGTACGTGTGTATGTATATGTGTGTGTAAATGATTTTGATAAAATGAGAACGCGTTCTAATTAAGAAGCAAAATGAGAATGGATCGAGTGTACTGTTACATTAGATTTGAGATTTGTGCATTATGTGAAATAAAAAAGTGCATTACCATGAAATAAAAAATGTTATCACATTTTTGTAAATAATATTATTGGTCAATTTGACTGTGTATTACCTTAACCATAAAAACTTGTTGTTTACCAGGCTGCTTCAGCCCAGTTAGTTAATGAGGAGAAAAGTTCATATATTTTTGGGAGATTTGCAGGGCTAGACTAAGAACCATCCACAACATCCTGTGTATGCAGAAAGCTATTTTACCAATAAAGTATCTTGGGTCAACCTGCATAAAGGCATTAATAGATACAATTACTGTGTTGACCTAATCAATCAGTTTGAGAAGAGGTTAACACTTTGGAAGCAGATAAACTTATCTCACGGGGAAGATTAGTGCTCATTTAACATGTTCTGAATGTTATTCCACTTCATGTGATGGATGCTGATAGACTGTTCAAAAAAGTTATATCTACATTAAAGAAGAAAATGACTTCATTTTTCTAGGGCTCTTCCTATAATAAACAAAAAGTCCGCTGGCTTAAATGGTCTCACGTGTGTCTACCTGCGAAGGAGGGAGGATTGGGTATGAGGTCTTTGGCAGATTTGGAAAGAGCTTTCTCTATTAAAATATGGTGGAAATGGAAGACTAAGAAGTCAATGTTGGTTGATTTTCTCAAAGCTAGGTATCCAAGGGGTTCTGATATGAATGCCACGGTTACCAACTCTCCCATATGGAGGAAGATCTGTTTTATTCACACTTGTGCTGTTGGCTTATGCCAATTTAACCAGGATGAAAGTGTTAGATGGTTACCTGAAGATGATGGAGAGTTTACTTTAAAGTTTGCCTTTAACATAGTTTGACAAGAGCTTTATGCCACATTCTAATTTCAGCATGCCTGGCATCCTCAACAGCCCCTACATATCAAATTTCTTTAATGGAAAGTCTTAAAAGGAATCTTGCCAATCACTGATAATTTGAGAAGATTTCATACTATTCTTAAACCTTCTATATGGCCTCTATGTAGGTCAAATGAAGACATAGTAGACCATCTTTTCTTTGCTTGCAGGATAGCTCATTCCATTTGGGTCTATTTAATGGGTATCTTTGGCATACCAATCCCACATCATTCCAGCTGTATTAAACAAGTGTTATGACATGGTGGTTTAAAGCTGGGAGTAAAAAGCTTATAGACATACTCAAACACAATATACCGGGAATCATTTGTTGGCATCTTTGGAGAGAGTACTCTAACATTATTTAGGGTTTGGGTGGCAGAAATCCATCAATAATTGAACACATTATTACTCAAATTAAACTATTTACTCAAAATTGGATGTGTAGTTTCGGCAATTTAAAGATTTATTCAATTGGTAATGTCCTATTTGAGGAAAAACTAATTCCGAGCAATTACAAGCTTCAAGGAGTTTACTTCAAAGTAGTTAGATGGAAGAGGCCACAACAGAAGTTCAAATCAAACACTGATGCAGAGTACATACGGACTTGTGTTGCGGGAGGAGTTATAATGAGGAACGAAAAGAGAGAGATAGTATTTGGTCTTTCAAACCCTCTCCTCATTTCTTCAATGTGGGAAGCAGAGTTGGAGGCGGTCATGTGTGCTACCGATTGGGCAATGGAAGTTGGTTTCTTAGAATTTGAGGTGGAAATGGAACCATGGTTGCGTTGAAATACATTTGGTCGGGAAGGTGGTGCGAGAAGATGGAAGGCAGCATAACCGGAAACGTTAGTGAAAGCTAAAGGGAAAGGGGTATTTTTACCCATGTTTTGAGAGAAGGGAACTGGGCCGCCCACTATCTGGCTAAATATTCTGCGGCCCAGCCTATTGTTTCTTATCGAGCCACAAATTTCCCAATAACAACCCGTAAGGCATACTATTTGGATCCTGTTTGGTATGCCCTATTTTCGTTATTTTTTGTAGTGGTTCGCCTTTGGGTCAGGTCTAGCCCCCCCCCCCCCCAAAGGTTTTGTTTTATTCAGGTGTTGTGTTTGTATTATTGGAGGTATGCCTCCCGTGGGGGGGGGCTTGGCCTAGCCCCCCCCCCCCCCCCCCCGGCGTAATTTTTGATCATTTTATTAAAACAGTAAATGTTTCCCGGTATTTATCTCACTCATTTAGATGGTTTGCGCGCATGCCATGCATGTATGTATGTGTGTGTGGGTGTTTGCGCCTTGCGAGTCGCGTGACAAAAGAAATTGAGCTTGGGTTCTGAGAGTGACATGAGGGGCCACCTCCTAGGCGGAAATAGTTAAATATCTTTAGGCCTAATGATTTTTATTATTCATATATAGTTTGGAATTAACTGAGTTTCTTTTTCTAAGTTGTAGTCCCTATGCGTTGTACTAAATTTTTTTCCATGTGAACCCAAAACTAATTTTTATAACTTTAAGTAAATAATGCGTTAGCCATAGGGTATGTTGGAACAACTCGCAGAAAAGATACTTTTACGTTCTTTTTAATAACTAGTAGCTTTTACTGACTGAAAAGATCTTAAAAAGAAAATGTTCTAACTGTTTGATAAAAAATGATTGTTTGATTTAGTTCTGTTTGATATAACGAGTTGTTGTGACTAATTAATGTTAAAAGCTACTAACTTTCTCCCAGATGCTACCCACTATAGCATCTTTAAAAAGATTTTTTATTTTGTTACAAGCTCTTATAAATTTTACTACTAAATATACAACTAAAAGCTTTTATAGGCTTTTTAAATAGTCCAAAAGCTAGAAGACATGAGCTTCTGTCTACCAAACATGCACATAGGGTATGTTTGGCACAACTAGCTGAAAAGATACTTTTGTGAGCTTTTTAGTAACTGTTAGCTTTTAGTGACTGAAAAGATCTTTAAAAGAAAAGGTGATAGCTGTTTGGTAAAAAGTCGACTGTTTGATTTAGTTTGGTTTGGTATACAAGCTGTTAGGACTAATTAATACTAAAAGTCACGAGCTTTTCTAAGATACTACACCTGGTAGCATCTCAAAAAAGATCTTTTAATTTTTGAAAAGCTCTTAAAAAATGTCATGTCAAACATGCAACTAGAGTCTTTTAACGTCTTTTTAAAGAATAGAGAAGCTAGAAGCTAGAGGCTTTTGTGTGCCAAACATAGCCATAGTCTTAATTCTACAAATTCATATTTCTTCCATTCATTTTTAGTTGCAACATTTTCATTTTTACTCTTGCAACTTTAACCGTCATTTTATTTATTTTTCTATTAGTAAAAAATTCAAAAATCAGATTATGAGAATTTTTAATGAGACGAATTCTGCAATATTTAAAAAATATAATTCTCAAAATTAATAAAGAACATGTAATTAAAGTAAAATACTACATTGTAAAATTATCAATGTTGCAACAAATAAGAAACCTTAATATTATGTAATCTATAAGTTGCTTCCTTCTCTTAGAACTGCTAGCTACTCTCTTTGAATTTTAGTAACTGCTTTATCTATATTCTCGCCATGTTAAAAGATTACCTCCTCCATTGATCTAAAAAGCTGAGAATTTTCTATGGGTATGTTCGACACAACTAGTTGAAAAAATACTATTATGATCTTTTTAGTAAATTGTTAGTTTTAAATTATTGAAAAGACTTTATAAGGAAAAAGTGGTAGATCGTCAAAAAAGGGAAATGTGGTAAATGTTTGATAAAAAGCTAACTGTTTAATTTAGTTATGTTTGATATACAAGCTGTTGGGACTAATTAATGCTAAAAACTACATTTTTTTTAAATGCTACTCCATGTAACATAAAAAAAAGATTTGTTATTTTTAAAAAAGCTCTTCAATTTTTTAATTCCAAAATTAAAACTAGATATTTTAGAGATCTTTTAAATAGTAAATAGCTCAAGGTAGGGGCTTATAGCTTACAAACATGTAATCTTCCTTCTTCGTCTCCTATCGTATATGATTTTAAATTAAAAAAGATATCTAAATTTTAGTTTTGCAGAGTAAATATCTGTTTACTAATTACTATTCATTTGTTTTCTCACCTATCACTACAAAAAATCGTTCAATTAGGCACTTAAGCTAGTCACTTGTAACTTATGTGAGTACTTTCTTTCACCACCTTTCTCACCTATAGAACCAGTGAGTAAATACAAAGCGTTTCTCACCACTTTTATCACTTTAAATACTTGGTGACAAAGGGCTGAAAAAACTGAACCCATATTACCGCATCCGTCGAATAACGTACTGCGTGTTTCCTTTAATTTCGTGTTGTTTCAATTCTTTTAATTTTTTATAACTTACTCCTTTTATTCTCTTGTTTCCAAAACTACATCCACAGCTCCACTTACCCACGTAGCCCACGCAGGCCAAGTTCAAAACACTATCAAGTTATGATAAATTTGTAAACCATGCCCAGTAGTCATCGTCTATCATTTTCTTCTTTCGAGCATGCGGCATAATTAATGCAAATTCAATTCCATGCACTTGATATGGTGCTTAGCTTGATATTGCCTTGCTCCCCTCATTATTCTTAATTACATTTTTAGCAACTTTGATTCATCTTACTCAGGAGATTGAGGCCCGCACACCATTGCTTCTAGGGTGAGTTAGGGCCAATAGCATGGAAGATATGACAATGCAATTCCATAGAAAGTATATACGGGTATGCTTTAATTGAATTTACGAGAATAATTATAACTATAAAATGTTTCTTCTACATTGTACTTTTTGTTTATATATTAAACATTAGGAGATTTCACCTCTTGTTTTAATGTTTCAGAAATATCAAGTTACTTGTGAATTGAGGAATCACTTTTGTAAAGTCAAGAACAACGGTATCTATGAAGACGGATCGGAGTTGATGCTCGATCCTCCTCCACTTCTAAATATGTGCACTTATTCTTATCATACGAATCATGTACATGCATTCGATCTGAACACAACATCAGCTACCGGAAATTATCAAATCTATTCTTACAAGTTCATTCAAAAGTTAGTAGATGTGCAATTCAAACTGTTGTTTGAGGATCCGAGCGGCCATTGAAGAAGAAGAAGATCACAATGTTAATTAGCAAATGAATCGGTCATCATGTCAATTTTTTTCCGTCTGAATTATCACTGTGTATCACAATCTTTGTATCACTTTGTATTATGAATCTATCACTTTTGTGCAATATTTGTGCCTTTGAGTTACTCTATTTCAAATGTTAACTATTTAATATTATAGTACTCCACTACCTAATAGATTCAAATTCGCACATTGTATTAATTGAAGTTATATGTTGAGTACTTAATTTCTAATTTTGAAATTCAAATTAATTTTGTATTGTATTGAGCAATAGATACTTGAATTTACCAGTTTTAAATTATTATAAAATAAAATGACACCCAAATTAAATTATTCACTCTCATACATAGTGACAAAAATGTGATCGTGACACTACATCATTGGCACGTCTTCACAAACTTCTCACCTATTTTCTCACTTGTTGGGGGAGTGAGTGAATTAGTCACTCTCTAAATGTGGTGCCAATGTATTTGGCACCGGCAATAAGGCACCACACACGTTTAGTGACTATGGAGGTGAGTAATCTATTTTGTCACTCAATTTATTTTATTATGAGTGACAAATTTGGTTACTAATCAACAAATTTTTTGTAGTGTATATCAAATTCCACTGAAGTTACAAATGTAAACTTGAAAGCACCATTGGACCAAACAACCAATGTTAATTTTGATAACTAGATTTAAAATTTGCAATTTAGATTTATCAATTAATAAGAAATGTTAATAAATTCTCATTTATGATTAAATTATGTATCATGAAAGGTGTGAGAATTATCGATATTAAGCTTTTCAGTTTGAGGTGCTAGAAATAATTAATTTTGTAGCTTCATTGACTACTTCACTTTATGTATTATGCTGGAAATGCTTTTAAGAACTCTTACGTAATACCTTTGTTTTTTACTCTTACTTGTTACTTGATGCTACGTTTATTTAAATATGTACTCCCTCCGTCCCTTATAACTTTGCCAACTTTCCTTTTTTGAATGTCCCATTAACTTTGCCACTTTCCCATTTAAGTAAAGAATTTGTGGTTCCAGTTAATTCTCTCTCCTCTGCACAAACCTCAACCACACAGTTTTTACTTTATTAATCCACGTGCCGGTCAAATTTGGCAAAGTTATTAGGGACGGAGGGAGTAACTTATACGATGGTAAAGTAGTATGCGTCATTATTATTACATTCAAATTTTGAAAAATCATTTATTAAAAAATTGAGATAACACCTACTAACAGTGTTTTGCCCATAAATTGTAAAAACATGGGACCGTCTTATTGTTTTGAATTGAATTTCAATGGAGCGCCTCACAAGTAGATGACGAACTACTTTACTCGTATATGAACCATAATTTCCGTTGGGCATTCGTTGTAAATAAGGAAGATAGTGTTATATTACCCCTTCCATAAAACTTAATCAAATTTGATTTAACGTAAATTAATAAAATAAAATCTGTGTGGTTGAAATTTGTGCAAAGAAGAGAGAAATAACTTTAACCACATACGGAGTATTTCTTACTTTAAATGACAATAGCAATTCTTTGGGACGGTAAAAAAAAAGAAATTTTGCCAAGTTTTATGGAAGAGATAGAGTGGTGTTGAAAAACCAAGGATGTTTTCTTTTGGACTGAAATTTGCTAGTCTGGTCTGGTCTGGTCTGTTTAAGTCTGGTCTGGTCTGGTCTGGTCTGGTAAAGGTTTGGTCTCTGTGTATTTTATAACTACGGAAGTCTGGTCTGGTCTGGTCTGCTCTGTTTAAGTCTGGTCTGGTCTGGTCTGCTCTGTTTAAGTCTGGTTTGGTCTGGTCTGTTTAAGTCTTGTCTGGTCTGGTCTGGGACTGAAAACAGTCCAAAAGAAAACATCCCAAGTAGCTAGGCAAGTTACGCAATGCAAGTAAACAAACATTCACGCAAATAAACATAAACGTGAGCACTTAGATTAGGGAAAATGATCCTCCTAACTTCAGCAACAAACACGCCTAAACTCCATACCTTTTTGCATCTAGACGAACGCCAACTAGAGTTTTTATGCTTTGAGAGAGGCTATAAACGTGAATGAATCATCATTACATTTCCACAATTCCTCCCTAACTTTCTTTCTTGGAAGTAACAAAAATAAACAAATCATTTAACCTTTAAAATGAAGATCAAAATGCTAAAAATTTAAGATTGAAATGCAAACTTTTTTTGGGTTCAATGCGGATTTGATATGTTTTAATAATACTCCGTATATGAAAGTTTTATTGAATCTCTTTGGTTTGATTCAGTTTTATTCGTTTTTCATGGTTTCAGTTCTGTTTAACACGATTTGAAAGAAATACAATCAAACTAGACTCAAAATGCATATGGTACGGTTACACCAAACCGACATGCCCACCCGGACTTTTTATTATCAAAATTGACAGTAATTTCTCTGCATAAATTTATTTTTCGGAACATAGTGCTCATATTTTGAAATTCTAAAACGTTTGTGTGCATATTTAGGTCAATTGTGTATTTTTATAGTATAAAAGCATTTATCGTAAATTGAAATTAAAACAAAAGGGTCTATTTTCACATCTTCCTTAATTTCTTCTATATTTGATTGAAAATGTATGCTAAAATATCAGATTTTATCAATAGATTCAATCATACCAAACAAGCTCTACCTTTGAAATTTTATTACTCAAAGAATTACCACACTATTATTCATCTCCATTGGTAAGTTCCAAGTTAGCATGCTTAGGCATTCTTTCTTGTCCAAACCCCACAACCATTATTAATAATCAATTCAATAATTACAATAAACGCTGTAATAAATCCCTTACATCATGTGATTTAACGGGACGGGGGAGGAGGTGCGATATAAAATTACTTACTACTCCGTATAAGATTAGGATATTTCTACAGAGAAGGGGTGAAAAGGGGGACAAGTTAGGGGCAAGGAGGTCATTTAGGGTAAATGTGTAGCCGAACACAACACTGAAATCCAAAACGCCTAAAAGCAAAGATGACCTACGTGGGCCGGCTTTTAACTATATTTAGCTGGACAGACAAAAACCAACACATTATCACCATCGTCGCTATCCCCCCTTCTCTCTCACCTCATCATTTTTCCTTTTTTCATCTTTCCCCCATAAAAGTTTTTACCGCAGTAATAATCGATGACTCCGATACAGTTTACTGTTTTGCGTTCTATTTTGGTTTAATTTCATGCGGTAACTTTTTTAAAGACACGGAAAGATTCCGCATATTAGCTTTTTTTTAGTTATAGGTGTATTTATTTAAGTATTTGTGAAAAGATGTATATGAGGGCCGCCCTTTATTTCATTTTTTATTATTACCAGATAGATAGACAGACAGATCCCACCGAAATAAATTAATAAATTCACCACACCCCAATCTTCATAAAAACCCCCCAGAATTCACCATCGTTTTATTTTAATTTTTATTTATTTTCAGTTTAGGGGAAGGGAAGGGAGAAGGGAAAAGGGAAGGAAGGCTCCTCTTTCTTCAATTCAACTCATCCTCTTCGCGTTAAGGTTCTTCGCCGTCACCGGAGATGCTGGGCGTTTCCGGCATGATAGGCGGCCAGGGGGATGTGGCCGCAGCAGCGGAAGCTCCGGAGAGTGGCGCCGGGGCTGGTAGTGCCGGCGACTCTGGCGGCGGAACTGTGTCCCTGCCGCCGAGTGCCTTCAGCGAGGCGGCGAGGATGGAGGAAGGAGACCGGAATTCCGGCGGCGGAAATAGGTGGCCGCGGCAAGAGACATTAGCTCTGCTGAAAATAAGGTCTGATATGGATGTGGTTTTCAGAGACTCGAGCTTGAAAGGTCCTCTGTGGGAAGAAGTTTCCAGGTAATTCCTGTTTTTCATCTTCATCTTCATCTTCACCCTCATCTTCTTCCTAGAGTTGAGATCTGGCTTGGATCAAAATTCAATGGAGATAAATGAAATGAAACGGGGCAAAAAAAAATTACGATCTGGTTTTCTCTTTCATCTTTGTTTCACACGAATTCAGCTGCTTTTCGGGCAAAATAAACAATTCCGGATTTTGAGCTGTTTCAGTTTTGCCGTTTTGGCATTTCTCTTCAGCTAAATTTAGCAAGAAATTTAGGAAAACTGTCAGTCTGTCATCAACTCTTCATCAACAACATTCATCATGGCTATCGCTCAGATGCATCCTAGTTTTCCTCACCTCTCTTCATTACCATAATAATTCACCTAGATTTCTGCAAATTGAAAAAACACTTTTCCAGCATTTCTTCTATAATTTAATAATGAAATGTATATACTCCGTATTTGAATATACTCTTCTTCTTCTTCTCAAAATTTTTAAATATCTTTCCCCGAAATGGTGTTTCTGTATTCTAGCGCGTGATTAATGGTAATCAACTGTTAAGGTTATTACAGTGCTGTATATTTTAACATTAATTTTATTACTACCTATACTAATTAATATCGGCAGATAAATTAATTATAGGGTGGTACTACTATTTCGTGATTTGTTGTATCACTATTGATGATAATTTAATAAAGACAGTTTAATGATTATTTAGAAAAAGAAGTGGTAGTAGGTATATTTAATTAATTATACTCCGATTGCTGTTTGGATGGATAATCGGGAAGATGATTGACTGTTCATGATAACACAGGAAAATGGCAGAGCTTGGATACCATCGAAATGCTAAGAAGTGCAAAGAGAAATTTGAGAACGTCTACAAGTACCACAAGCGAACCAGGGAAGGCCGTGCAACCAAATCCGACGGAAAAACTTACCGGTTTTTCGACCAGCTTGAGGCTTTCGAACACAGTCCTCTCGCTCTTCCTCCGCCACCATCTCGTCCGCAGCCGCCGTTATTGGCCGCTCCACAACCGTCGTCTGTTGTAGCACCACCGCAGCAATTGCCTGGGAATCCGGTGATTCCCTCGCCCGTCCAAGTTACTGTTCCATCGACGGTTAGTCAATTTGGTTCCGCGACAATTCAAGGAGTTCAGAATCCGATCGGTGGCGCTCCGGCATTTCCGCCGCAGTCGCAGACTAGATCAGTGCAGGTGCCGGTGCCTCCTCCACCGGCGGCCCCAAACAATACCAGCATGTTTCCGCCTCAAAGGAATGTTCAATATCCTGGGAGTCCGTTTTCAGATTCAACCTGGTCCTCTGCCACATCATCGGACGAGGATATCCAGAGACGGCACAAGAGGAAGAGGAAATGGAAGGACTTCTTCGAGAGGCTGATGAAGGATGTGA